CAGATTTCCTATCCTCTGCTTAGCCTTCCACGTGAAAGCTTGATGTTGACTCTGAGTCACTCCCCCTCAGAGTCCTAAGCAACCTGTGATTCCATGTATCAATCTTTAATTTTCATGAAAAGAGAAAGGCACACAACCCAAAACTTCATTTAAGGTCAGAAGTAATTGAGAGGAGATTATTCTGCTATCTGTTGATGACTTTTATTTCCTTACCAAACAAAAATTTAAGAAATGGAAACTATGCAAGCTTCAAAGTCCAGCTGGCTGTTGGGTACTGTGCTCCACAGCAGGCAGGAAAAAGGAAAAAAAGGACATAGCAAGGAGCTTCTAGACTCTCACACTCTAAGATGATGTCTGACTTGAAGAACCTAAAACTTATACATATGAAGAACCTATGAAATTATACACAAAACCCAAGATTTCTAACAGCCACTAAAGATACTTTTTCAACTGAATTAAGAAAGCTCCTCATTTTGGAGGGCAGGAGACAACGCAGAAGCAACATGGCATCACTTAAACCAAGAAAAGTTCAGACAGACTGGTTGCAGCCAGTCTTCTATGAAGCAACAATGGTGATTATGGTGATGATGATGATCATACTCTGGAATCCTAACCTAAAAACTGTTTAAGAGGAAAAGAACATAAGACTTATGTTCTTAAGAACGTAAGAACATAAGGCTTTCTCTGAAGCACCATTAAGAGACCACTTGAACACTATGTGCACCTATGTCTTCAAGACCTATTCTACTACTGACACTAAATTTAGGTTCTGGAAGACTTTCTTTGGACTCTGTTGAGGTTAAATAATGAGGTAGACAGGACGCTCACCAGTGATGCTCTGAGCAAGGGCCAGGTCTAACGACATGGATATACTGGTTTCTCTATCACCACTCACTCGTTGTAACAAGACTTGGAGATCAAATCATCCAGTCCAAAAGCCCTTACTATAGGACACATTGAGGCCAATAATCAAGAGGTACCTAAGGAAATGCTTTTAAGACACAATGAAGCATAACTTCCAAGGCTGTAATCCAGATCCTGAGGTTGGCAAGCAAGAAAACATTGGCTCTGTTTAAATATGACTAGCTACACCAGAGGCAGGGAAGAGGTATTAATCACTACACATACAATGCTGTAACTAGCAGCTTTTAAAAAGCCAAGCTTTGTGTGTTCAAGATGAAGGAAAAATGACATTGGACAATATATAAGACACATTCATAAACTTAAGCACCCAATCAAGTAGGCAGTTCCCAGTCGCTATTTATATCTCTAACACTGTAAAACAGTATAGTTTGTAAGCTTAACTCAGTTTTTAATTTAGTTCTGTCCATTTGACTTGAGTAAATAGAAAAATTATGTGAAAAAAATAGAAAATCAAAGAGCCTATCTATTCAACAAGCTTGTAAAATAGCTGTCTTTCTGTCTCTGATGCTTTTTAACAGTCATGTATGTATCAAAATATTGTATATTTGCAGCCACGTGATCTGAGTTCAAGATCTGAATCTGCCATTTAAAAGCCGTGAGACTGAAAACTTACTTAACCTTTTTGTGTTGCAGTTTCCTCATCTGTAAAATGAGGATAATAACAGGACCTACATTACAAAGTCATTGGGAAGATCAAATAAAATACATGTAAAGCAACTGAAATAACACCTATCATAAAGGTTCAATAAATGTTAGAATTTTTTAAAGCCAAGTTCAATAAACATGGGCTCTATATAACTGAACACAGTATTCTACACACACATACACACACAAAGTGACAGGTCTAGCACCTGGCATAACAATAAATTTTATAGTGCTTTATATCCCACGCAGCATATAATCTATCATTAATGACCTAAGGCACTGTGCAAGAAGCATGCTGTCTCTCCCCTTCACCCCAAAAAGTGTTCCAAAGGAATTCTCATGTTCAAATCCTATCTCATGTTCAATCAAATTCTCATGTTCAAATCCCATCTATCCTAACAAAATAGATACAAACAAATCCTCAACAATCCTCTACCCAGAAAAGTCCCGGTCCTATTCATTCTCTTCCAATGAAATCAGAAGGAAGGAAGAGTTGCCTCCCTGCCACTTTGGGAAGCTTGTCGCACCCAGTTAGTATTATAGCTCACAAACTACAAAGGACCTCAGGAATGC